CTCCCATCTACCCCCATCCCCCCCCCACTCACCCCCCATCACCACCCGCCACCTGCCTGCCACCACCACCCACTCGCCACCACCCGCCACACACCTGTCACCACCACCCGCTACCACCACCACCACCCACTCGCTACCACCCGCCACCGTCATCCACCCACCACCACCACCACCACCACCACCACCGTCACCCACCCACCACCACCACCCGCCGCCACCACCTACCACCACCTGCCATTCCGCCACCCACCTGCCACCATTGCCCATCACCCGCCACCACCACCACCCACCCGCTACCACCCACCACTACCCGCTACCCACCACTACCTCTACCCACCACCCACCGTCACCACTTTCCACTGCCATCTTCCGCCGCCACTTGCCATTTCTCATTCTTTTTTATATTTTTAAATTTTGTTAAACATTTTGTCAATTACCAAACGTGTTTGTAGTTTATGTTTTTCTAAAAATAAACAAAAACCAGTTTATAAAATTTTTGTAAATATAAACTGAAAACGTAAACGTTACCAAATAGACATGACTCCCTCTATAAAATTTAGGATATAAACTTACTTTTTAGACCTATTTTTTGGACTCAATAATATGTAAGTGATATGATTTATTAATAATTCGAGAAGATATGACTAACAATACTCTAAAATTTAAATCTATCATACATTCAAATTATAAATATTTTCCTTGATATTTTTTTAAGGTGCATGACTCCTTTTTGGATTAAATATTATTTTGTTTTTGAAATGAGAAGGTTGTGTTTAATGGAGTAGAGAGAGCCGAGGACCGACACTTGAAATATGATTAGTTAAATGCATATAAGTTTGCAAGTTGTATTTATATATAGTGACAGTTTTATGAGGGGAATTCACAATCCAGTGGAGCTTTCGCCTAAAAAAAATAAATAAACAAAAAAATAAAAATAAAAATCGCATACATGGAATAATTTATATAATTAATTATTGATATTTATAAAATTTATCATCAATTTTAAATTACCTTGAGTTGTGTTTTCCCCATTTTTTATGATTGGGTTTTACCTACTACCAGTTGCATACTAAATCATGTATGTCCAAAATTAGCTCAAGCCTCAAGTTTATGACTTCAATCAAACTTATATGAACTCTATAATTAGGCATTCATTGTTGGCATTGTTCCTAATTAATTTCAAGAAAATGATTAAATCATATATAAGACGTTATCTGATAAATTCAGCTTACCATATGGTTGTGTGCCAACTTAGTCAAGAGGGCATGTGACCATTTTTTATTGAGAAGAGAGAACAAATTAGCAATGTGTTTGTTCTCCTCTTATTATTAAAAAAGCACATCATGCAATTTATAAGTCGGATTTATCAAATAATTTGTCATGAAGTTCGCCACTATGAGCTACATATTTATAGTTATTGCTTAGTTTGTTTTGCCTTGACTTTCTTTGATTCAAAACAAAACAAAAAAAAAAAATTTACCTTGACTTGTTTTGGCTCCATAACTACTCATCATCAAAATTGTTTACCAGTCGTGCATTATTTATTTAAAGAAAAATTTTATTCTTACATGAAATTTATGTAAAAAGTGCATTTAAGCCTCGTTTGACAATTACATGTTTTAGCTAAAAAGTCAAAAAATTATTACAAGTTGTCACATCACTCTCTTTACTTTTCTGCACATTTTTTCCTAAAAAAGTAAAAAAGTTACTAAAATAATTTGTTTCCAAACGAGGCTTTAGAATGATACAAGTATAACATTTTTTAAATTAAGGTCTTGTTTGGGAACATGCTAATTTAGCCTCCGTTTGGAAAGTGGGTTGGTTTTTTGGCTTTTTTGACTATTTTAGCCTAGGGCTAAAAAATCTGGTTTGGGAAGGGCTTTTTGGCTTTTTGGTGAGGTGTCTTCCTGTTAAATTACCAAACTGCCCTTTTTGCTTTTTTTTTTAATTTTTTAATTTTGGGTTTGGATTTGGCATATTTTGCTTAAATTTTTTTTTATTTTTTATTTTGGGTTTGGATTTGGCGTATTTTGCTTAAATGTTTTTTTTTATTATTTTTTATTTTCGGTTTGGATTTGGCATATTTTGGTTATTATTATTTTTTTATTATTACTTTTTTCCTACTTATTATTATTATTATTATTATTATTATTATTATTATTATTATTATTATTATTATTATCTTCTGATGTTTTTTGACATTTCCGAATGGTGTATTGATATCAATAATTTTGAAGATTAAAGTTTGTCTCCACATGCACACACAAATTAGACTTACTTTTTTTAATGAAAAATACAGCATTAATTGATATATACTTAGACTAGATCAACTGAGAAAGAGTTATATTGAATTGGTTTTTGTATTAGCTTTCAATGAAGACAGATATGAATGAAGAAAGCAGAGGGTCTTATCCGCATGTAACATAATGAAGGTAACAGTGTTTGAAGAAGTGAAGTTCAATAACGACAACCCAAAAATGTGTCATTTATTTAAGAATCAAGATTGCCTGTGAGGAGTGTTTTGTGAAAGAGAGATGGAGACATTTTTTTCACCATTGACAAATCAATAGGTAATTCAATTTTCTTCAAATCATTAGGTATTTCACAGATGGAGACATCGTCTCCAGCATTGACTCACAAATGACAGAACCCATTCAGATCATATGTTTTTCTTATTCATTGACAGACCATTTCATAACTCATCAATAGGTAATTGACAGATGATAAATGAAGTTTTTCATGACAGTGATAAGTAATCAAATGAATTTTGTAACAGAAATTGATATTCATTCATAGAATTGATGTCATCAGTCAGCATTTGAATGCCATAAATGTGAAATTGTGATATGAAATTGATAATTTGTAATGTGACTTCTAAGAAGAAGAAAAAAATTGCAGAACAGATTGTTTTGAACAGAATAGGTTCCAAGAACAGAACAGGTTGAATATGAATATGACTTTTTTTACCATGGGTTGATCTACATGAAAATATAAGAGCAGATACATATATCTGCCTTCAAACCGAACAGATTTATATATAAGAACAGATATATATCTACCCGAAATGTGTGAAATGTAACCGTAATGAACCCAAACCGAACAGATTTTACAGATTTTCATATAAGAACAAATATATAAATAAGAACATATATATATAATAAGAACAGATATATATTTTTTTGTTATATATATATATATATATATCTGCCCCAAATGTGTGAGAT